TGTTGTTTTTTTTTTTTTTTTTTTTTTTTTTTTTTTTTTTTTTTTTTTTTTTTTAAAAGGTTTGTTATCCTTGAGAGCCATCAGCCCAGGGCAACCATCACTGGAAATGCCAAGGTCGGCTGTTTGTGAAAGGTGCCCAAGACTGGTGGATAACACCGAAGTTAAACTTCCCAACCCCACACAAACTGTGCTGCTGATACCCTCACTGCGTATCAAGAAGCAAAACAAAATCCAACTCTGAAACAGCCCCCATATTTCATTTCATTTCTCTAGCTCCCAACCAGTACCTGGGTTCAGTTCAGTGAGAAATATTTAAAAACTCTGCTAACAATACAAAATGTTATTCTGACCCCAAGGGCCAGCACATTGCCATGTCAATATTAGGTTGGATCTTGTTCAAAATACTATGCAGCCAGCCTTTTCCGAAAGATCTCTTATTCCTTATTCTTAAAAAAAAAAAAAGGGGGATTTTTCAGAAAAGGGTTTATTTTCCAAAAGATCCCCGTCTAGACTGGCGCTTTTTTCCAGCAAAGCCCCGAGCCGGAAAAAAGCGGCAGCCATATTTATGCAAATGAAGCGGGGGGGATTTAAATCCCCGCTTCATTTGCAATTGCGATGTGTCTAATTTGCATCCCTTTTACGGAAAAGGGATGCAGTCTTGACACAGCCATAGGGTTTCCTTGTGCAAGAAATCCCTGCTAAGCGTCCACACTGCCCTCTTCGCAACAGCTCCTGCGCAAGAGGGCTTACACCTGTTTAAAAAAGAGCGTAGCTCTTGCGCAAGGAGCCCTCTCTTACCACGCCATACTGTAAACTTACTTGCGCAAGAGCGGGCAGGCAGTGTGGATGCTCTGCAGATACTTGCACAAGAACAGCTGTACTTGCGCAAGAAGCTGCGAGTGTAGACATAGCCTCAGTGTCTAAAACTAAAGATTTATTGTAAAGGAAAAAAGTGAAAAGAAGAGATTTGGTAAATGATAAAGCAATTAAATATAAACAGAGATGATCAAAGTCCATATAGCAGATTCTTAGCAATATTGGTGAGTTTGCTGGCTTGATATCCCTGGAGGATCCATCCACAGCTTGGATAGGATCATTAGGTCCTTTGTTTGTAGAATGCTTACTCCAGAGGTTAGAACAGGACTGAAGACACGTTGGAAAAGATGCAGCTGCCTTTTATATTCCTTTTGCCATGTGGCTTGTACTTCCTGTGTCCCAAACAAACTTCACAGCATATGGCTCTGAAATCCCTTAGAATTCTGTCTATAGGATGTCCCTACATGGTTTGCTAACTCATAAAGTGCAGTCCCTGGCTTGTTTCAAATGGGTTCATTATATAGCTGATAGCGCATCAAGGGACACTAAGCAAACCTAATGCTGATGCCAATCTCCCTGGGAGTGTCATCCAGAAAAATGGCACAAGTTTGGAAATATGGATATACAGTACAAACACATCTAGATATGTAAGTTAAACAGGATTATCATACTTGGAAAACTATACCATTTTCACAGATATCAATGTTGTTAAATTGCAAGACATTATAAAATTGCAAGAGCTCACATGACCTATATGCTTAGATATATCTGTAGTATGATAGTGTCTCATATTCCATACAATGTTATAGTTGTAACTCCAGCAACTTCACATTTTGAATTGCAGGTGATACACACAAATTTAGAGTTAACTTTTCCTCCTCACTTCCACCCAGATCAATGACACTGTGTTCTTGAGCTCAAGGTTTTTTATAAGATGATTGATAATTTGCACCTACCTCATAAATACAAAACCTTAAGTCTTGATCTGAGACTATAGCTGCTCTGGTTTTTTCAAGCCAGTTGGCTACTGCCCAAAATATCTGCATTAGGAGCCAGCATCAGACAGATGCAATATATTAGTGAAGCAGACTTCTGCCCACACTTATGAGAATAGCTCCTGGTGTTAGCTGCATTCTGTCTGAGGTTAAGGATGAGTAGGTGTGCCTGTATATACTGCAAGAACAGAATCTGTAAGAATTAGAGATTGCTGTTTCAAATGCAAAATGTATGCTCTCTGCCTCCATAGTAGTTCTTGGTGATTAAGCCTAGAGCCCACAATTTAGAGAATAGTCTTGGAAGTGTTCTTATCAATAAGAAATACACTCTTGTATAGAAGACCTTTTGGGTCTAAACTGCTCAGGGGAGAGTTCTTCTAAGGACTGTTCCCAGATAAGGGTAGATGGCATGTGGAGAAGGGGGGACATACAGAATCCCCAGCAGGGGCAGAATAGGGGACATTGGCATGAGGGTGAAGGGAGCTCAGACCCTGGGATAGAGGGGGAAGACTAAGGGAGGGAGTCATGGAGAGGCAATGTCCCTGGCATTGGAGGAGGGAGAAATGGGAGGACACACCCAGAGCCCCTGCCATAGGTGAGAATGGAGAGTACATAGAGCCTCACGTGAGGGAAGAATAGGAGATCTTGGTAATGGGAGGGGGAATGTAGGAGTACACACAGTACCTCTATGATGAAAGAGACAGTGGAGAAGATATAGGGAGTCTGAAATGAAGGGGGATGGGAGGTTGGCACACATGGAAGGAATTTATGGGAGGAATGAAGGGATGTGGGAAGCTTCTGGTGTATACAACCCGCTTGGTCTACAGAAGTCACAAAATTACAACCTTCTAATGAATCTTGCAGTTAGGGAAGCTGACTTTTTCTGCCTCATGGCTTTGAACTCTCATTCTGGGGGATTGTCTTGCTTGGGAAATGGAGCACATTAATGGGCTAACTCTTTCCTGTACCACACAGCTAGAATTCCTGGTAAGAGCTGAAGGAATGTTTGTTTTCACTAAATTAACGCAGCCAATGAGAGGCAAAAGAAGACTTCTCTATCTTTAAATGTTCAGATTAAACATTCAATCTACTCTCCCTTCTTCAAATGTTATCTGTTTGGATAAATATTTGCACTTCCAGGTATTTGTAGCCTTTAGGGTTCAATCACATTAGAAGTTAATATTAGATTGACTTGCTGATTCATTCCATATAGGCATTGTTTCAAATTTGGCCATATTTATGTATAATCTGAATATGGCCCTGTTCTTTTAGGGCTAGAGTTGCCAGTTCTTCTGTGTGAAATGTTGGTATCCCCAATTAGAAGTCAGAACTTGTGTTCATAGTCTACTCCTGGGGGAATTCTGTGTCAAACCTAAATTCTATGCACAATATTTAAAATTCTGCAGATTCTATCTGTCAAAATAATACCATTATGCCAGTTTCAATTATTTTGAAAGAGATTACCAAAAATACTTGCCAGTAAGTTTGTCTGTAACAATACAGATGACCAAAAAAAGGTCAGGAAATCTTTTTTTAAACTAATTCCTTTATAGGCATATCAATATGGAACTTAGAGTAATTTGTTGAAATTACAATACTGAAATGTATTTCTTGTTCAGAAGGAGAGCAAGGGCTTGGAGTCAAGGGTTATGGGGGAGCTGAAGGAGAGAGAAGGAGCCTGAGAGTGAACCTAGCGTGTTGTTGGTTGTGTGTGGGAGAAATATGGAACCAGTTTTATTTTCTGTGGGGTGAGAGATCTCATGCAGACTTTGGTTAACCTCTAGCCTCTTCCATTCAGTCAAGCACACATCTGTTCCCTGTCCCCATGTGGCCTGCAGCCCCACTCTGATTCAGCCCCAGTTTAATGCTGTCTCCTCACTAGCTTCTGTCCTGAGCCCACACTCCAGTCTTGTCTCCCCCACTGGCCCTTCTAAACTGCAGTCTGTGACACCTTCCCAGCAGCTCCATGTGCAGTCTGTCCACCTCATGCTTTCTCACCTAGCTGTTGTAAGGATTGCATCTTCCCTGGATGCCTGCCCTCTTATGGTGCCCCAGTAGCCTCTGGTGGGTAAAAGTTGTAACTGCAGCACGTCTCCAGAAGAGTCTATATTCTGTGAAGGAAAAATAAAGTTGTGAGGGGATATGAATTCTGTGCATGTGCAGTGGTGCAGAATTCCCACAGGAGTATTTCACTTACATCAGTGCCTTATCCATCTTGCTTCAACAAATATAAACTGCTGGTGGGTCTAAAGATAAGACATATAAGGGTTGGGACAATGGGCAGCCTTGTTAGAGCCTATATAATTCAAGTTGTAAATTTTTCTCATTTTAAGAATGCTTTTGAATAGTTACATCCATCCCAATAACTGATTGCAGAAATATTTGACAAAGCTAGATTACGTTCTTTTTGTACTGGGGGGGGGGGAATCTCATAATACACAATCAGAAACCATTTTTGCATGGAAGATAAAAGAATGAGATAACACACAGGCTTCTGAGTAGTGTAGGGCATTGAAAAGCCTCCTCCTACAATTATTATTGATTTGCCATATGTAAAGTCCACTTAATCTATGTGAAACAGGACTTGATCTTGCCAA